TGCTGCAGGGTCGTCAGGTACTACGTGGACGGTGACTCAGGATTCCAGGCCCACGTAAGCGAGGAGCCAGGACCCGGCGTCGGCAACTACTACAGCAATTCCCTGAGTGGGGAGAGTTCCGTGGGCTTCGTTCCTCCCTTGTCCCACGGCGTCGTTGGTCATCACAACCCCCTTCTTCCTGGCGTCAGCAATGTGATAACGCCCCCGAGTCACGTGTCCTTCACCGGCTCTTTACCCACCCCCATCGTCCCCGCCACGGCCCACGGACAGACCTCCTTGATTCCTCTGACACCCACACATGTTTCTGTCTCCTCTGATCTGAGACCAGATCTCTCCTTCTCCTCCTCGAGACCTGGCAATGCCTTTTCCTCCTTCTCGAACCCTGGCAATACCTTTTCCACCCCGAGGCCTGGCAATGCCTTTTCCTCCTTCTCGAGCCCTGGCAACGCCTTTTCTTCCTTCTCGAGCCCTGGCAATACCTTTTCCACCTCGAGGCCTGGCAATACCTTTTCCTCCTTCACGAGCCCTGGCAATAGCTTTTCTTCCTTCTCTAGCCCTGGCAATAGCTTTTCCACCTCGAGGCCTGGCAATACCTTTTCCTCCTTCACGAGCCCTGGCAATAGCTTTTCTTCCTTCTCTAGCCCTGGCAATAGCTTCTCCTCTTTCTCGAGACCAGGCCAGTCCCTCTCCTTCTTGAATTCAGGCCAATCCTTCTCTTCCTTCTCGAATCCCGGCCAATCCTTCTCTTCTTTCTCGAGACCTGGCCATTCCTTCTCCTCCGTTCCAAGGCCCAGTCGCGTCTCCCTCACTCCAACGCCGCTGGACCGAGGCTCCTTTTCCACCACCGTGGCCCCCCCTCGCTCCTTCACCACCTCCCCGGGATTCAGCACTCACCAGAATTTCGGAGGAGTGACCGACGGAAGCATCATCCACGTGTAAAGGACTACGACAAACAACAACTCCAGGGGTTCTGCCTTTGATGTTCACCGACAGGAGTAAATTTGAAGATGAAGGTCAACTATTAATTAAGTTCGGAGAATTCTGAACATTTTGTATCTCTCTACTGAGGACATCAAATTAATTCATCTTTGGAGAATTCTGGACCTTTTCCATCTCTCTACTGAGGACATCAAATTCATTCATCGAGAAGACCATGATTACCCCATCAATGTCCATATTTTAAAATAGCACGAGAATAAAGTATGCAAACGAGTCCAACAAATGCTTATTGAACCTTTATATTCCATTTTTCATCATGTGATATCTAAACCATATAATACAGAGGGGATTCTCTATAACACTGGTATTAGTGATAATGATCATAATGATAATAATTAAGATAATAAAGCAGATGCAGTAATAAAGATAATATAATTAATAGTGATGCAAATGATGAAGAATACTGACAGTAATGGGAAGGACGATGGTAGTGACACCAACAGTAATAACACAATATTTTCCGTGATTCCAGTAGTAAGTTCAAAAATAATGATAACAGAGGTACCACAAACTGAAAGAAAAAGCAAATGTATATACTCAAAGCACACATATATATATATATATATATGTACTAGATATGTTTGGAGAATTCTGAACATATTCTATCTCTCTACTGAGGACATCAAATTCATTCATCTTTGGAGAATTCTGAATATTTTCTATCTCTCTACTGAGGACATTAAATTCATTCATCTTTGGAGAATTCTGAATATTTTTCTATCTCTCTACTGAGGACATCAAATTCATTCATCGAGAAGACAGTGATTACCTCGCCAATGTCCATATTTTAAAATAGTACGAGCATAAAGTATGCAAACGAGTTTAAGAAATGCTTATTGAACCTTTATATTCCATTTTTATCATGTGATATACCTAAACCATACAATACAGAGGGGGTTCTCTGGAACACTGATATTAGTGATAATGATCTTAATGATAATAATTAAGATGATATAGCTACAAAGCAGATGCAGTGATAAAGATAATACAATCAACAGTGATGAAGATGATGAAAGATACTGACAGTAATGGGAAGGACGAAGATGATAGTGACACCAACAGCAATAACAATTTTTTTCGTCAATCCATTAGTAAGCTCAAAGATAATGATAACATAGGTAACACAAAATTTAAAAAAAAAGCAAATGTATGTACTCACACACACACGCACACACACACATACACACACACACACACACACACACACACACACACACACACACACACACACACACACACACACACTACACACACACACACACACACATATATATATATATATATATATATATATATATAATATATTATAATATATATATATATATATATATATATATATATATAATTTACATGTTTTGTGCGTGCGTTTATCTATCTTATATATTTGTCTATTTTCTATCTATCTGCCTACAACAAANATACCTTTGCGTGTGTGTGCATATAAATCTACATTTGTATATTATACATATTATATTAGTACTATATAATAGCTAGTAACTAC